AAAATATTTTTGTTCTTAAATATATTGCAGAATTTAAAATATTTTGCAGCCTACCTTTATTCAACAAATCCCCACTTGTAAAATTATTTATTTAAAATTTTAATGAAATATGCGTGACAGGTGTCACAGCTGGATTTATCTTGTTAAATGTAAAGGCATCTGCGGGTTCGATTCCCGTATAAAAATGTTTAAGTATGGGGTTTTGGGATAAAGACTCCATCTATAATATAATGTAAAAAACGTCGAAGTTCAAAATTTGTAACAATAAATACGATGTGCGGCTGTGGCTCGGGTGCGAGCTGGGCTCGTGACATTTATTTCGACGTTTTTTTTGGGTGGGGACCGAATGGCATTCAACATATTTGAGACAAAGAAGAAAGATCTGGTGATTTTAGGTATAGGTTACTTCACGAGGAAAATCTTCGAGAAATCACTTAAAAGCAAGAAGTCATTAAAAACACCAGATTTTATTAAGAAGGTTCACACCGAATTTTAATTTCAATCCTTGTAACAGATAATGGACGCGAATTTGATAATGAAGTGTTGAAAAGTTTTTGTTAAGAGAATGAAATAAGAAGGACGTTTTATGTTCCTTATTATCACCAAAGCAATTTAAGGATAGAAAGAGCAAACAGAACAACAAGAGATGGATTAAGAGCGCCGAAGGACCCACTAGAAAGACCGCAACAAATGTAATATCGAACCATAATGAGACTTACCACCGCGGAATAGGAATGTCGCCTAACGAAGCAGCCAAAAGAAAAAATAAAAATAAAAGTCTTTAATACCAAGGAAAATATTCGTAAGAGTTTTGAAAAAGTCTTCTAATATGAAGCATTCAAAGCTAAGGACAAGGTGCTTATAAAGAAGAAAGTTAAGGCAACAAATATGAACAACGAATTTGAAGAATTAGGATAGATTGAGAGGATTGTCGGAAATTATGTGTATATGTTGAAGTTGATGTGAAACCGATCAAGGATTCAACGCCGAAACATGATAATGTTTGAAAGCCCGAGACACGTTTCTGAAATAAATATAACGGCCAAAAGTCCGGCAAGAATTCAAAAGAAGAATTCCAATAAATCTTTTTATTTCAAAGCGTCTATTGGCTGTAACACGTATGAATTGAAAGTTAAAAATAAACTTATGAGGCACGCGAGCCAGCTCAGGGGGCTTAGCGGGGGATGTTGGGTGCTAGACATCCCGCTTCCAATAATTTGATTGAACGAACGAATGGAATTCTAAGATCAAATGTTTTCGTTTCAAATCCGAAACACTTTTCCGGAAAAATATAAAAGCGGATTTTTAATAAATAGG